GTATTGCTGTCATTTGCCTACGAGGTTTTCACGCGCGAGAGTCCGTTAGCAGTGCCTGCGAGTACTGTCGCACTGTAGTGTCGCACTGTGGCGTCGCACTGTGGTGTCGCACTGTAGTGTCGCACTGTGGTGTCACACTGTGGCGTCGCAGTGTGGTGTCGCAGTGTGGTGTCGCAGTGTGGTGTCGCAGTGTGGTGTCGCACTGTGGTGTCACAGTGTGGTGTCGCAGTGTGGTGTCGCAGTGTGGCGTCGCACTGTGGCGTGGGCTTTTATCCGCACTGTTCACAGCGATGGGCATGCTACCCACTGTTACATAGCTCTAATGTTATACCTGATCTACTATCGAAGATGGCATTTTGTTGTCAAACGTATAGAGTCTGGTGAATGCGCCAATTGTTTTGTTTTCGCGTTGTCACTAATTCGCGTGGAAGGTAAAAACAGAATTAATTTAGATTCCTGCTGAAGTTTGCACTGGTAAACGCGAGGTCTGGTGAAAGTGGCAATCGTTTTGCGTTTTCACGCCATCGAGTAGAGCAGGTTAAAACATTAATATATAATAATACATAAATTACTCGGGATTATTTTCGCTATATGTCTTTTTTTATTTTAAAGGCATACTGTAAAGCTAGGGCGAGTGTTTTAAATGGTATTTATGTGGTTGTCATTGTGGCGATGTTCTCTTGTTCTGAGCGTTCTGACGTGACCTGCATCGGCTCTCTTTTACTGCGATCCTCCGAAACTGTGTCGACTGACGAACCCGAGTTTATGTATTTGTCAGCGGCGAGTTTTATCGTTTTTGACTTTGATAGACGCGTGTAGCCACAGCCTTCACGTACAATAATGAATTTAAAGTGCAGTTTGCTGTTTATTTACGTTCACGGTGTGTGTACACGTTATGTGACATTGTTATTCTACATTATACGTTCTAAACGCAGTGTTCGGTCTCGATTTCTTGCGAGTATCCTGCAACGTCCATCGCGGACTGGCCGTTGGTCGGCGTACCTCGAAGTGCGAGCTACCTAACACGTGTAGAAAATAGCGCGCGGTCGCAAAAACCTGTTTGGCGAACGCCACTGGCACTTCCCTGTTTGTCTAGGCTAGCAACAACTACGTGTTGTCCGAAACCTGACAAGCATTTTAACGAATGTCAATTTTAACAAATGCGTGCACATGTGTGCGTGCTTGCGCGCGCGCGCGTGTGCACGTGGCAGTGAAATGTCATGTTTGGCAACATCCTAAATGTTGTCACTTTTGTCTGGAATTTTGTTTTGTTTTCTTTGAAAGAATTTTTTATAAAATATATAAAAGTATTATAGCGCGGCTTGTTTATGTTTTTTAAGGATATTGTCGATAGTGTCAAATTAGTTAACTAGTACAGTGCAGTTATGCATTACACGTTGTTTCGTTTCAGATTGTCTATGAGTTCTTCTTGCGGTTTCTGGAATCACCAGACTTTCAGCCGAACATAGCAAAGCGATATATAGACCAAAAGTTTGTACTGCAAGTATGTATCGATGCTAAATATTGAAGTGAGACTTACATCACGTCCGTATTATCCTTGTAAATGTTCGCCTCTCGTCTGTTCTCGTTCGTTCTCGCGTGATGCCATCCGTGGAATCGGAACAGAAGAGCATCCTGTGATACGCGCAGCAGGATTGAGTGCATCGTGCGAGTTTTTACGGGAGTCGAATCTCCCACGGGAGCAGTTACCGGTCTTTGAATCGGGATTTGTTCCCTCATTTTAAATGACAAACAACGTTTGCGGATGTTGTTTGCCAGATTGTCACAATGTTCATCATAGCTAGCAAACGAATCGGGTGAGATTCTATGCAAATCCGATACTTTACTGTCGCCTTCAGACGACCCCGTGACATTACCGTCCAATCCGGATTTAACCAAATTTTGAATTATTACTTTTTTACCACAAATTTTAATTCGCGGTTTAATTCGTGGATATTTATCCTGATTGAAATTTCGCCCGTTCAAAGTCGCATACGGCTGTGCGTTACGGAATTATGCGCGCGTGCAGTTAAGCCCGGCGCACACGTGAGTAATGATGCATGCTCACGCGAAATATTTTCAGCGTCTGCCGCACACGTGAGTAAAATTACTCAAGGTATAAGTGGTAATGTAGATCACGTGACTGTGCGCAGTCAATACTGGGCGCAATCATCTTTAAAATGATTTAAACGCATGCGCTGTGAGTACCAGTGTTGAATAAATTTACGCAGCTAGCGCGCACACGTTGAATATTTTGACGCATGAGTCAAAAATTATCAAACATGTTTGATATTGAGTTTCTTGATGCATTCGTCAGAAAACTCCGGCGATCCTCCAGATAAAATCCGGCGCACACGTGAGTATTTTGACGCATGCATCATTTTCCTTGAGTAAAATTACTCAAGTGTGCGCCGGGCTTTAACCGAATGGTGACCGCTACCGTCAACCGTAATCCGAGACATTTTTATCTCTAGTCACTAAAATGTCTCTAATCTCACTTAATGAAGACTGCGATGGTGTGCATGTCAGTGTTCATTTTTTAACGACATCTCTGGAGGGCAAGAACTTCTGTGTTCTTATCCCTGATGTAAGGTTTTAGCTGGATGAGTGAAAGCAGATTTATACATGTGGTTCAGAGTGAAGCGGGGAGAAACAAATTCTAGGATCGATTGGATATTATTTCGTGTTTATAATATTAGCAGGCGTTAAAATTTACACGTGTGCTTTTGTACGGCTTGCTAATGTGGTGCTAACTATAATGCAGGCAAAACTAACAGGCCAAGTATGGTTTCATTTTCACAGTATTGCACGTCGCTGTTACTATATTACATTATAGTGTACATCCGGTAAATTACCTCCAGTTAATATATGTAATAATTTAATATATACGGCTCTGTTCAACATACATCGGCTACATACATACATCATACAACTACATCGGCTCTGCTCCGATACGACATAACGAGTTGTAATCAATCACTGTAATTAGTACATAATTAATTGAGCATAAGGAACGGTTGGCTTCCCTTTGTTTTTATGTTGTTGTTTTTTGTTGTTTTTTGTTGTTGCAAAACTTTCGGAGACTGCCGCGTGTTCGTCACTATAGGTTACCGTGGCCCAGATGGCTATTATGTTCAGTGCTATGAGAGAAAAACATCAGAATTCGTGATGATCACGTTTCTAGCCGTTGGTGGAGAATTCAGTGACCATTTGGGCCCCCATAGTCTACTACTAGACTGAAATACTCGTCGCCTGTCAATTCTGTTTCGTGCCTGTACGTCTTTAGACATGTTTTATCGGACGTATGATGTATGCTGCGGGACATGTAGTTAAATGTGCTCGCGTGACAGATACGAGCATGCTGCTGTTGCTCATCGGCTAACACGCGTGCCCCTACATTGCTCAACGACCTGCAACGAACACTTGTACTGCAGCGGCGGGCGACTCGGGAGAGCCCGTGGCACCCGAATGCTGCGAGGTGTGATTAATAAATTTTTAATTAATAATTAACAATCGTTAACCGACCCGATTAAGTTTTCATTCGACTTTTTGTTAGTTGTTTTCGTGTAGACCTTTCGCGTAATTTGTGCGATTGGCGAGCTAATGTGCTGTTTGTCGACACATTCTTCTGCAGTTGTTGGACCTGTTTGACAGTGAAGACCCAAGGGAGAGGGATTTCTTGAAAACTGTGCTGCATCGAATATACGGCAAATTCCTAGGTCTACGAGCGTATATCAGAAAACAAATCAATAACATATTTTATAGGTGAGTTTGCCTTCACAAGAAGTTATCAGTCTCTCTCTCTCTCTCTCTCTCTCTCTCTCTCTCTCTCTCTCTCTCTCTCCTCCTCCTCCTCCTCCTCCTCCTCCTCCTCCTCCTCCTCCTCCTCCTCCTCCTCCTCCTCCTCCTCCTCCTCCTCCTCCTCCTCCTCCTCCTCCTCCTCCTCCTCCTCTCCCTCTCTCTCTCTCTCTCTCTCTCTCTCTTTCTCTTTCTCTCTCCCTTCTTCATCTTTCTCTCTCTCTCGCTCACTCACCCCCTTTCCTCCCTCTTGTCTAATTGATCTTTACAGATGTATATACGTATAGATGGTATCAGGATTGTATAATATAGATATATTATACACTCCTGGTGGTATATGTCAAACATATTTTTCAGGTATATCTATGAGACACAGCACCACAATGGCGTAGCAGAACTCTTAGAAATTCTAGGCAGGTGAGAGCATTTTCCAGTGAACATTGCCCTTTGCTCTCAAATTCTTAGGTTTAGGGTACATTTTAATTGCCTGCCGTTTTCGACTGTGTACCTTGGGTTAAAACCGTGCTTGTGGTAGCCATAGCAACTAGTTTTTAGCAGCAGGAAGTTATTGTACAGTGTACAGAACATGCGAGCTTGGTTATTGCAAGCGTGCAGAACGCAGGATGCTGCCTGTGTTCATTAAGGCTGTGTGATGTCATTAGCTGTGCTGTCCAAATGGAGCTGTATTTATAATATTCGCAGACGTTGAGTAATCCATAAGTGCATGTGCAGAACGTTTCTCACGGCATCGTCGAAAATTCTTAATAATGCTACGGCTACTACTGACAAGGCAGGTGCTCTGCCACCGGATTTTTAATGGTTATGCGATGAAATCCCCAAAAGTGTCCTATATTATTAGCGTATCCGTTCTACGGGAGCTGGTTTCACCGTGTAATAATGTGTCGCACAAGGGAAACGTTACAAGTGTCCTCTATAGCTAACATGTCCGTTCTATGGAGCCTGGTTTCACCGTGTAATAATGTGTCGCACAAGGGAAATGTTACAAGTGTCCTCTATAGCTCACATGTCCATTCTATGGAGCCTGGTTTCACAGTGTAACAATATCAAGAGCCAATAATACTAAGGTAATAATAGGTATTATTAGCTCTTGATAGTATGCTTCACAAGCGAAACACTTGAAGTGTCCTTTATAAGAACAGGTGTCTGTTCCATGGAGGTTTTTGCTGACACAGCTTACAGAGTGCTCGGCATTGCATGCAGAGTGTCTTTCACTAACGGGAGGGAGTTGGGCAGTTGCAAATCTTTTATTCACACAGGAAAAACGGCTTGTAAATTTTCTTGTTTTAATCTTCTGTTTCTTAAAAACAACAACAACAATCACTTCATCCCATCGTCGACATACGCCAACCAGATAGCAGCACCAGGAGTGTCATAGTATAGACACTCCTATTATGACAAATGACATTATTATCATTACATCCATATTACATTACATCCTTATTACATTATTATTACATTACATTAATATCACATTATTATTACATCCTGTTATGACATTATGACACTTCTGATAGCACTGCAGTGCATTTACCTTATGTCACTGCTCTGCATGTGTGCGCTAGCGGGGGGGGGGGGGATTTCCATATTGTAAATCGAGTGTGGTGCTCTGCCGGTAACCAGGAGTGTATAAACTATAATATAGACTATATTATACACTCCTGGTTAACGACATGACGACGTTACAACTACCTGCGCGACAGCTTTATGTGCCGCTGCGGCGCATCGTCTCTGTTGCAGTATAATCAACGGCTTTGCGCTGCCACTGAAGGAGGAGCATAAGGTGTTTCTGCTGAAGGTGCTGCTGCCACTGCACAAAGTGAAGTCGCTGAGCGTCTACCACCCGCAGCTTGCCTACTGCGTCGTCCAGTTCCTAGAGAAGGACCCGAGCCTCACGGAGCCGGTAAGAGTGAGAAGATTGCACGCACGGACGTACGTTGCATGGGGGTGGGTGTGTGTGCGCGTGTGTGTGCATGCGTGCGTGCGTGCGTGCGTGCGTGCGTGTGTGGGTGCGTGCGTGTGTGGGTGTGCGTGCATGAGTGTGTGTGTGTTTGGGTGCGTGCGTGTGTGGGTGTGTGCGTGTGCATGTGTGTGTGTGTGTGCGTGCGTGCGTGCGTGTTTGTATGTGTGTGCGTGTACATGTGTAAGTGTGTGCGTGCGTGTGTGTGCGTCCGTGCATGTGTGTATGTGTGTGCGTGCGTGTGTGTGTGTGCGTGCATGTGTGTATGTGCGTGCGTGCGTGCGTGCGTGTGTGTATGTGTGTGCGTGTACGTGTTTGCTTTCCGAGATATATACACTATATCGAGCGAGCCTACGCTGCCTGACAGCCTTGCTGCACAATATACGTACATTCGCTGCCTTTGATGTGACCTGCGCGTTTCACTAGCTGGGTGAATTTTTTTACATTTGGTTTCTATCTCACGTCAAAACTGCGTAATGAATCGCGTGTGTGGCTGCACGATCGAGTTTCCTCGGGTAATATTGGAGAAGATTTGACTAACTACTGTACATACTCTATCCCTAGGCATTAATGGCAGGTAGTAGTAAAGATTGTGTAACTATGCTGAGTCATATATATACATATACATGTAAATGTATATATGCGTATGTACGCACGCATGTACGCTAACACACATGTACATATACATGCACATGTATATATGCGTACGTACGCATGCATGCATGCACGCTAACACACATATATACATATACATGTACATGTATATATGCGTACGTACGCATGCATGCACGCTAACACACATATACATATACATCAAGAGCGTATAAAGAAGGAGAGTGTACAACGGTGAAATGCTGAAACCATGTTGCAGTATTAGTCGAATTAATAAACTTTCTCCGTTTTATTTTGACGATTCTTTGTATTATTGATCAGCTGTCCTACCTTGCTAATATAAAACAAACCGCTTGTCCCTACGATGCCCCTACGCTGAGATAATGAGCGGTGAAAATCTGGTATTTTCGCCGAAAACCGACTACAGATCAGTCAGTACTGCGACTGTCTCTCGTTCTGGCGATAGCTTCGGGAAACCTCGCATGTTTCCGTCATTCATTGACAATAGTTGGGTCCAGAACCTCAATCCCGTGACCATTCTCTGGCTAACATGTTTTGACGATTGATTTGACTTCTATGGACGTTTTATAAAAAATTTAGAAACCCGGCCCCTTCCAAAAATGCAGGCATTTTTTGCTAGGGGGCCAAATCCAAAATTGCCGCCGACGCCATTTTTAAAAATCAACTTTTGAACCAGAGCAGCTAGAATCAAGTATAAATACATACTTATTCTTATAATTACTTTTTCAACTAAATCAACCACGAGGATTTTGATTCTGACATCAATTTGATGCTAAAACATCATTTTGACCAAACTATCCAAGACGACCCCCAGCACCATCTTGAAAAATTAACTTTTGAACCAGGGCACCTAGATTCAGCTATAAATACACTTTTCTCCACTAAATCAACCATGAGGAATCCGAATCTGACATCACTTTTACGTTTTAATATCATTTTGACCCAGATATCCAAGATGGCTGCCATACGCTGGAGCGAAAACATAAGTTATTTTAGTGCCGCACCTGATAGTATTAGTGAAGAGTGTAAGTGAAACAGATGCTCGCATCCGGAAGAAAGCTAACCATGTTAAATTTGACATTTTAAAAGTGGAATAAAAGCAAGATCCAGTGAAAGATTCATCTGGATCTTAATATTTTATGTAATCGTAGACATTTAATAGCGTGTACACAAACGTTGGTAATAGCGATATAGTCTAGTTCTGTTCAGGTACAATATTGTTTTGCTTTACATTGTGCAGCGCCATGTTGAAACATCATGAAACGTCATGAAAAATGTGACGTCATCAATAAAATAATCGAGTATGGTGGGTTAAAAACATCTGATAAATAAGAGGTGAGTAACATATGTTCTTGTTAAATATATTACACAATTTGACCTGATTATCAAACATGTATAAAACTTAACTTTAGACGCCCTTGTGATCACTCACAACAATGATGACGTATAAAAACATCAACACGTTTTGCGATTTTTAGTTACAATAATTAGTATGAAACATGAAAAACACGATGTTATCTTGTACAGAAATTAGTTAATATAGTTATTTATGTTTAGTATTTTACCGCAATATATAAATCTGGGATTTTATCATTTTTCTAAACTACGGAAGCTAATACGCGACACAATTTTGTTCCACGATACTAGATAATTGTAAACATAATTTTATTCTTTGCTATTTTAATGCAATTGAGGACAGTTATTGATCGCTTAAAGGTCAATATCACATGGTTACGTCATCTTTGACGTAATATAATGTCACAGAAGCGAGGTATTCAGACGATATAGTTTAAAAGGAACAAGAACCCCGCAACCATGTGAGCTTCAAATAACTAATGAGCAAATTATGCTTAGTCAGTCCACTCTTTGGATGAATATGTATAATATCATATAGTCAAACATTTCTTATTTATGTCTATTTCCAGAGGTTGGTTAGAGTGTATGAACAGCACAAAGCTCTTGTGACAATGTCCACAGTTCCATGTGTTCTACAGTGTGGAGGACTATGCGATGAAGCCACTGATGCCATTTCTACAGAGGGATGGTATAGTCTCGAAAAGAAGGCCCTGTTATGGAGCGGTCTTGACAAGTTCGGAGACGTCCATGCAACCGTTGATTGGGGTAAAGGTCCAATCGGACAACGTGTCCATGATACATGTAGGTTGAACTTATCAAGCGCGAAGAAACTTGAACAGGCCACCGTAAGACAGAAAAAACGAGAGGGAAATGAATGCCATGCTCAGTCATCATCTGTGTCTCGGGTTCCTTTTCCGACTGCGCCTCCAGCAGCCAAACGCCTGCGATCTTCTACAGGGGTGATACAGGATAAAACAAAATGTGTCTGGTGCTGCAAGACAGAGACGGCCAAGCGTCCAGAATCAAAGCTGAAGCTCATTTCATATGATCATGCATGGGCGTCTTTCAAGAGTCATACGGTGGCCCTGGAGGATCAGGTAATGCGTGACAGAATAAACTGCCTGATTGAATCAGCAGGTGACCAACCCTACGCACTTGAGATTAGATATCACCATAAATGTTGGCTGAAACATGTTCGAACTTATCAGAAGATGAGTGATGAAACCATCATTTTGAACAAACTATCCAAGAACTGACCCCCCAGCACCAGCTGAAAAATTAACTTTTGAACGGCAGGGCACCTAGATTACAGCGTATAAAATACCTTTTCATCCACTAAAATCAACATGAGGGATCGCGACTGAACAATCATTTTACGAGTTTTAATATCATTTTGACCAGGATATCCAAGATGGCTACCATACGCTCGGTAGTGTAACGTAACAAAACAACTAATTACATGATAACCAATATACTATTTTTAAGTTGTAACTTTTTATCATGAAGTTAAGAAGTGGTAATGTATAAACTGTATAACAAATAACTCGAACATAAAAACTTCTCATCATTTCAACCATACTACGCACTATTATTAAAACACATTTAGAACGTCACCAATAGCAATACAATAATTCTGTAAACTTAGTAATTTAGAATCAAAGAGTAAGATCAATTTGAATCGGAGGTTTCTTGCCACACTATGTCGGAAGCCTGCAGATTCTGACGATTCATGTCTCCCTCATCATGAGAACTCGTTCTCAAAATCGTTCTTCGAGCTGTCTTCAGCGCCTTGTCCTGGTGCAAGGTAAGTCTCACTGGGAGAGCAGGTCAAGTGTTCTGTGACGAAAACAGGGCGACAGCGCGGACAACACACCAACTCGCCAAGCCATAGACCGAGTGGAGAGGGTGGTTCTTACAGCGAATAGTGGCGCACTAAGTCGCCAGGTAGGTTGGCAGCGGAAGACAGTGTTGTCGAGACTATCCTCATACTGGAGGAAGACGTATAAAGGAATTTCCTTCTTCAACTACTTCACAAAACTTCACAGCGCGAGCCTAACAAGCCAAATGAGCAAAGTAAACTCTCTCTGTCGGCCAAATAACGACATCAAGCGTGTGAAGTGAAAGAGTTTCCATTCCTATCACGTCCCTCTCCATGGCAAGCATCATACTCCGCACCAAGTGAGAGCTAGCCATCCAAAGCGACCACAGGGCTCTAATCGCCACATCTTGCATATCAGGGACATCTTACGCCCTTGCCGGTAGAACGCCTGAGTCTATGCATCACAAACTGTCATCAGCTGCAGCTCACAATACAATGACTGCCATCGTTCACAGTCGACGGTCCAGTCAACCAGGCCATGACATGGAGACCATACCCTCCACTTCTCCTTGAATCAAAGAGATACCGGGCAGACACTGCTGCGAGATTACTGCTGACTCGAGACATAGGCCAGAATACAGTACACTGCAAATCAAATAACAACAGGGTCATTGCAATACGCTGACCGCGCCAGAAGTGCGTAGTGGAGAATAAAGTAAAATAATGCCAGCCTCAGAACTGAATCAATAGCTGTAGCGTATCTGCAATTGGTTGTTGGGTTCGAACAAGATTAGTGCAGTGAGAGGCCACAGAGAGAACAATCTCTGGTTCAACAGCTGTGCAAAAGTCGGTCACGGGGTAAGCTCGGCATAATCATTGCTTGTAGCAGAAACGCCCTCTTTGTATGCTAAGCTAAGCTACAAAGCAGCGTACTTGAAGCAGCAGAGGGAAAAGGATCAGCCCAATCTTCATGTAGTGTGAGGAGGGACAAATGTGCCTTACCCTAGCACCCTCAGGTCTCGAGCTCAATTCATCTTATGTTGAAGATATGCTGTGCATACGGTACCGTGGATACACGGGCAGATGACTCGTTTAGCCTCTCCCATGTACCGGGTAAAAAAAGGAATACATGGAG